ACCTGTGGTGCTGTGCTCATCAAGACTGGCAGGAGTGGCCGCACGCAGGGAGGTCAGCTGTGTGTGGCAAGTGGCCTGCTCAGCCCAGTGCAGGGCCGGGCCAGCAGGCCCCAGGTGAAGGCTACACAGCCTGCCTGTGGGTCAGTCCGGGCAGAAGCATGAAACAGGAAGAGGCTAATGCTGTCAGGTGAGAAAATCTCTTTCTCACAGAAAGATCTTCAGGCTGCTGCTTTGCTCCTCAAACAGTTGCGACAGCCGGAGCTGCGCCGATCCGGAGCCAGGAGCCAGGAGCCTCTTCTGGGTCTCCCACACAGGTGCAGGGTCCCAAGGCTTTCGACCGTCCTCTGCTACTTTCCCAGGCCACGAGCAGGGAAGCAGATGGGAAGTGGAGCAGCTGGGACACGAACCAGCACGCATTTGGATTGCCAGCACCCCTGGGTGGAGGATGAGCCTGCCACACCACCGCAGCAGCCCAGAACTTCAGCCACCGCCGGCAGCTCAGGAGGAGGCCCTTGGGATTTGTTTTGTTTTTTGTGAGAAAGGACTTATATTTAGCTTTTAGGTTTGCCCTGTGCTGGTTCACTTGTCAGCCGAGACCATGAGCTGGAGCCGTGTGCAGGTCCCCGCGTGGTTGCAGGCACCCCGCTGCGTTAGCGGAAATCCAGTGGGAAGCCCTGGCTCGCTGCTCCAGAATGTGGGCATCCCCACCAGGCCTCGGCCCTGAGGCACAGCCTGAAGAGACTGGCTGGCCAGGAGCTCGCCAGCACCCCCAGCTGGCCGCCCTCACACCCAGGGTGGCCCACATCTGAGCCCGTGGGGCTCTAGCCCTGTGCAGAAGGCCCAGCAGTTCAACAAAGTCTTGAGAGACAACTGGGCCTACACGAAAGTGTGTGTGGCCAATGTGTGGGTGTGTCCACTCCGAGGGGATCCTGCAGGCGCCACCAGCGGGCTGCACACAAGTGTGTGTGGCCAGTGTGTGGGTGCACGGGGCATCACCTCTGAGGGGATCCGAGGGGAGCAGCGGTTATTGCCGTATGTTGGGAAGGAGCAAGGGGCAGATGCTGGAGCAGCTGGTTGAACGCCTGCTTCAAGGCTCAGCGGCACTTGCTGGGCACCGTGAGGGTGCCCCCGCCCCAGGTGGGAGACTCCGTTGCACTCCTGACGGCTGAGTTAAGCCTGGCTGAGCCCCTGCTCTCTGGGAGCTTTGGGGTGTGGACTGTGTATCTGCTTTCCAAATAAATGATAATGACGATCAGAAACAGCCATTCTAAGAAAGAGAAAACAGACTTAGGGGACGAGAGGCCGAAGGGCCCATGCCCACAGCCCAGCCCGGTCCTGTGTGCTGGACTCGCTCCCCACGCCTCCAGGTATCCCCACACCACAGGCCTCCCCGTGGCGCCCTCCAGCCTACTGCGCAGGTGACCGGGACTACTCCAGGGTGCACTTTGTTTAAATTTTAATGTTTCCTTAATTTCATTTACTTGAAATAACGGTAGAATGAGGGAGCGAGGAGGAAGACTTTCCTTCCACAACCAGGCTGGCCGGGCCAGAGGCAGCACCCAGAGCTCTATCTGGGTGTTCTGTATGAACGGCAGGGCCCAGGCAGCCGAGCCTGCCCAGGTCATGTCCACTGAGGGCTTGGCCCCACTCCCCACGCATCACTCCTTTCATTCTTAGACACGTCTTTGTCACCATCCCAGTGGATTCCAATCCTCTCGCTGCAGTCTGTCCAGCTCTGGACCAGTGCTTATGAGATGGTCGCAGCAGGGGACATGGGGCCCCCGGGGACTACCCCCTGTTACGTTGGGTGAGCTGCGTCTACCTTCTGGTAGAAGGACCGTTCCTGAAACGCCTCTGGTGAGGCAGGGAGCACTCTGGGGGGACGTGGCTGCAGGTGCAGCCCCAGCGCAGTGGGCCCACCTGCAGATGCACGGGGGAGAGTAGCCAGCATGCTCCACTGCTCGAGGCAGTGCTTCCGCTGTCGGTCCAGCGCCCCCCCTGAGGGCGCCACAGTGACCCAGCAGGCCTGAGCGCACAGGGAGCGCCCGCCCAGCCACCGCGTCCTACAAGTTGTTTGCAGTTGAGTTTGAGAGCAGATCTCATCTACTGATTCATTCCCCACCTGCCTCCAGTGCTCGGGGCTGGGTGAGGCCCTGCCCAGCAACCTGGCACCGGGAGCCAGGCTCCTGGGCCAGTCTGGGTGGGACTGAGGGAGAACTCGGCCCCTCACTCTGACAGGGGAAGCGCCGTCCCAGGCCACGCCTTGCAGGTGCCTCTTCTTTTTCTTTCTTTCCTTTTTTTTTTTGTTTTGTTTTGTTTTTTAAGTTTTATTTATTTTAATTGGAAAGGCAGGTACACAGAGACGAGGAGAGACAGAGGAAAATGCTCCATCCGCTGGTTCACTCCCCAAGCGGCTGCAACAGCTGGAGCTGAGCTGAAGCCAGGAGCCTCTCCTGACCTGTCCCTCACGTGGGTGCAGGGCTGCAAGGCTTTGAGCCGTCCTCGGCTGCTTTCGCAGGCCACAAGTAGGGAGCTGGCTGGGAAGTGGAGCTGCTGGGACACGAACTGATGCCCTCTTGGGATCCCGGTGCTTGGAGGTGGAGGATTAGCCGATCAGCCATTGAGCCAAGCCCTGCAGTGGTCCCCTGGAATCTGCCCTCCGGAGGCTCAGGCCGTACCTGGCACCACCCCTTCCCTCGGCATCGGGACAGCCCTGCCTTCAGCGATCCTGAGCCACAGGAAGGGCTGAAGCTGTCGGCACAGAGGAGCGGTGCTGGCTCTGCACACAGCTCTGTCTCAGCATGCTGGAGATGACTGACGGGAAGTGCACTGGGTGTGGCAGGCTCAGATGTAAGCCTGTTTTTCGGGCTGCTGCAGGGCAGTCCTGCTGCCCCATGAGGGACTCACCTGGAGTTCCGGCCACTCCTGTCACCCTGGCCCACATCAGCTACTGTGCATGTGTGCGGAGTGAGCCGGTCGGTGGGAGATCTTAGGAGGCGGAGCAGACAAGGGCGAGTGTTAGCCTAGGAGCTGCAGCTGCCACCTGCCACTCTGGGACCCCGTGTGGGTGTCAGGTCATGTCCTGGCTGCTCCACCCGTCGTCCAGCTCCCTGCTTATGGCCAAAGCAGTACTAGACGGCCTAAACCCTTAGAGCCCCGCATCTGTGCGGGAGACCAGGAAGAGGCTGCTAGCTCTAGCCTGGCCCAGTCAAAGATGAACTAAGTTAATACAAATGAAACCATACTCACGGAGACCTGTGAGGTGACGTTGCAGGTTTCCCGGCACGCTCCTCTGGCTTGACTCCATCTTTGTGTGGCCTGCATCCTCCTTGTTGCTGGTCCACGTGGACTTGCGGTCCGGCTCAGCCATCCCTGGTGTTCCTGGTGTCTTGGGTCCCCCTGCTGTCCTGTCTGGCTGGAGCAGCCCTGGCCCTGCTCCCTGACCATCTCACCCCATCACATGCCTGCCATGCGGTGCGGTATAGCAGAGAGGGGCTGGGGCTGGATGAGACGCTCAGGAGTTTGAGCATGTGCGTGTGTCACACCCCTGCACGGCACTTTCCAGACTGGACATGGTTTCAGTAAGCTGGGTTCATGCCCTGGCGCACCCAGCTCTGCCAGGCGTAGGGTCCTGCCAGCCCAGCCGGCATCACAGTGCGCACTGCCCTGGCCTGCATGGGTCAGTGGCATGTGGCTCCCACACTCAGGGTTTCTTCATTAGTATTATTATTGGAAAGACTGAGTTAAAGATGGATGTTACGGCCATTGGTTCACTCCCTCTGGGGAGGGCCACCCATCTACTCTCCCACGGCCGCCAGCACGTTCCCACTGGGCCACTTGCTGGGTGCTTCTCCTTTATGCTCCCCTCACACCAGACAATCTTTTTTTTTTTTAATTTTAACTTTTTCCATACTCAGCTGCTTTCCCAGGCCACAAGCAGGGAGCTGGATGGGAAGTGGGCCGGGATTAGAACTGGTGCTCACATGGGATCCCCCACGCATTCAAGGCGTGGACTTTAGTCGCCAGGCCACGGCGCCTTCCCAATTCTTTGTGACCGCTGCTCCAAGTTCTGTAATGCTTTTTCAGGTTCTCCCCCGACCTTTCGCTCCAACATCTCCATGTAGTTCCCCTGTGGCATTCATTCCTTTGGCGATGCCCTCCCGATAGGTGAGGTGTGGTCACAAAGGAACTGTCCTCATGAGCCCACTGACCGGGCTCCCTGGCTGTGCTAGAAGGTGGCCTCCACCCAGCCTCGCCACCGGCCCCTGGACTTGTTGCAGGCCGCTGGCTCGGCTGCTTGTGGGTCCCCTCTCCACTCCCCTGTTACTGCGGAGCTGTGTCTAGGCGGAGGGCTTTCCCGAGCTCAGGACACCTAGGGTGCAGCTGTGTGGCACCACTGGGTGGGAAAGAAGTGTCCTACAGTGTCTTCACATACTCCTTATGGAAAAGGCCTTTCTATCCTGTGACAGCTTCCTGTCACCAGAGATGAGCGACCCTGCTGGGGAGTCTGCAGAGAGCTGCGCAGCAGACAGGCCCTGACCGGTCTCTGCGCGGGTGTCTCGTAGCAGCCCGAGGTGGGCTGTGCTGTGTCGCACCCCCATCACTGCAGCTCCGGGCTGTGGGCTCCGCCGGCTGACCACCTCTTCTCGGGCGGTTTAGAGGCGTGCCAGTCCCGGCCAGACCTCAGGCCCTTGGCTCTTTCTCATGCCCAACTGCTTGTACCAACCCTGCCTCACGTACACTCTTCCAGTTGCCAGCTGTGCCAGGAGGCTGGGCTCCTGTCAGCCCTCCAGTGGCAGTTGTGCCTGGGGACTCCCCAGCAGATGGACCTGCAGGTGGGGGTGCTGTTGAACATGAAGCCCTTGTCTTGGGAGCCCCCCTCTGGCCACACGGCCTGCACCTCTTGTCAACGGGCAAGCGCAGTGCAGCACGGGAGGCAGGTGTCGGGAGGGTGGCCCCACACTGCCTGCTCACCTGTGACCACTGCTTGTCTCCGGCAGAGCGGGAACAGCTTCCACGTGTTCGACCAGGGCCAGTTTGCCAAGGAGGTCCTGCCCAAGTACTTCAAGCACAGCAACATGGCCAGCTTCGTGCGGCAGCTCAACATGTGTGAGTGACCGCCTGCAGGCCGGCCACCAGCGCCTGTGCCCGGGGAGGGTCCTCGTGCGGGACGCAGAGCCAGGCTGGGGTCTGGTGAGGGCCTGAGGCCGAGCTGCCCCCTCGTATGCGCAGACGGCTTCCGGAAGGTGGTCCGCATCGAGCAGGGCGGCCTGGTGAAGCCCGAGAGGGACGACACCGAGTTCCAGCATCCGTGCTTCCTGCGTGGCCAGGAGCAGCTGCTCGAGAACATCAAGAGGAAAGTGACCAGCGTGAGTGGCCACCTTGCCTGCCCGCCCCGGGGCGCTGTGCTCCCGGCCCTCCCCCACAGGCCTGGCAGGGGCCATCTCCCTGACTCCTTGTTTGCTGGGACCCAGGCGTCCACCCTGAAGAGTGAGGACATCAAGATACGCCAGGACAGTGTCACCAAGCTGCTGACGGACGTGCAGCTCATGAAGGGCAAGCAGGAGTGCATGGACTCCAAGCTGCTGGCCATGAAGCAGTAGGTGACACCCCCACCCTGCCTTCCCTGGGGACGGGGTGGCCAATGCCAGTGCTCTGATCCCTGCTTGCTGCCCAGGCTGAGAACCAGCAAGGGTCCGTGCTCCCCTCCCCGGCACTCCCGCTGCCCCTGCAGCCCCTGGCATGCTGGCCCGTGCCTCTGTCCCGGCCTGGCCAGGACGCCCTCCCACTTGTGTCTGAAGCCCAGCAGCTCGTGGTCAAGGTTGTGGCTCACTCCTTGATAAGGTCCCCAGGGTTCTGGGGATCCCCTAGTCTGGGTGCTCAGGCAGCTGACCTCACCCACGAGGGAGAGGCCCAGGGCGTGATGCCCCACACCTGAGGAGGCCATGAGCACTGCCCTGGGGAGACTGCATGAACATGTACCCGGCCCACGTGGCCAGTGGGTCACGTGTCCACACAGCAGACGTCACTGTTGGGCCCAGCTGGGGCTGTGCGGCCACGTGAGCTGGAACCTGTTCCCTCAGTTCTGGTGGGGGCAGCATTCAAGGGTGCAAGGTCCCCAGGGGTTAGGCCCAGAGCAGTGGACACAGGCTGGGAGCCGGGAGCCACGTACCCCAGCCCAAGCCCAGGCCTGTGTGTTGCAGCGAGAACGAGGCCCTGTGGCGCGAAGTGGCCAGCCTGCGGCAGAAGCACGTCCAGCAGCAGAAAGTGGTCAACAAGGTGGGGGCAAGGTGGCTCCCTCACCCCTCCCCACTGTCCCAGAGGTGGCCCGGAGTGACCAAGTGACCAAGTCCTCCCTCCCCACAGCTCATCCAGTTCCTGATCTCACTGGTGCAGTCCAACCGGATCCTGGGGGTGAAGAGAAAGATGTGAGAGCCGGGGCCCTGCACCTTGCACCCAGGCCTGGCCCCCCGGGCTTGGGGCGGCTGCTAACCCCGCCCCTTCCCCGCAGCCCCCTGATGCTGAATGACAGCAGCTCCGCACATTCCATGCCCAAGTTCGGCCGGCAGTACTCCCTGGAGCACGTCCCCGGGGCCGGCCCCTACGCGGTGAGCGCCGGGGGCCTGGCGGGGGCCAGGTGGGACGGGTGCTGGCCCGGGCACGGGGGCCAGGCAACCGCCTGCCTCTGCTTGCAGGCCCCAGCCCCAGCCTACAGCAGCTCCAGCCTCTACTCGACGGACACCAGCTCGGGACCCATCATCTCCGACATCACGGAGCTGACACCCTGCAGCCCGCTGGGCTCCGCCAGTGCCAGCGCAGACGAGAGGTGGGCTCAGGGTGGAGGGGGGCTCCCACTGATGGGTCTCGCCTTGTGTCCAGGGCCCCCTAGGGCAGGGCGTCAGGGGATTTGTTCTGACCATCCTCGCCTACTGTGCTAGGCCACTCTCCCACAGCCCCCTGGTGCGGGTCAAGGAGGAGCCCCCCAGCCCGCCACGGAGCCCTCGGGTGGAAGAGGCGAGTCCTGGGCGCCCATCCTCTGTGGACACCCCCCTGTCCCCAGACACCTTCATCGACTCCATCCTGTGGGAGAGCGAGCATGCCCCTGCAGCCGCCTCAGCTGCTGCCCTCCCGGAAGTGGGAGGCCGCCCCCCCTCGGCCCCACCGCCCCCCACCCCCGAGAAGTGCCTCAGCGTAGCCTGCCTGGACAAGTGAGTACCACTCCACCCCAGGGCCCTGGGCTACGCGACTTGTGGAGGGCAGGCGGGGCTCAGGTCTTTCCCCGAGGGAGGGCCTGTGGGTGGGCCACCAGCACTACAGAGGCAGGCTGGGGACGATTAGTGGCCCCTGCCCCAGTGCTCCTGGAGCATGTCCTGGCGGCCGCAGGGCCATGTCCTGCCCTGCCGCCCTGCCCTCCCGCATGGGGTAGGAGGTGGTACGCAGGGCCCTGTCCAGCGGCTAAGCCTGAGGCAGCGGTGCCTGCCGGCCCCCACCGCTATGGGGGCTCTTGTCTTTGTATCTTGCAGTGTGGCTCGCACTCCACAGATGTCTGGGGTCGCCCGCCTCCTCCCCTGCCCCTCCTTTCTGCATGGCCGAGTCCAGCCAGGGTTAGCGCTGCCCCCACAGGGGAGGGAGGGCTCTGCCCGAGCTCGGGCCCCTCCCACAGCCACAGATCCGGCCCAGCCAGGGCGTGGCACTAGGCCCTGCCCAGCTCTGCCCGTGCAGGCAGGACATGGGTCTCTGTCCGCCAGCCAGTGCCCTGGGAGCCTCCTCGCAGCCCTGCAGGGAGGGCCTGCGTGGCCCCAGGAGCTCATCCCCCAGCTCGCTCGGGTCCCCCAAAGGCAGTGGCAAGACTTCATCAGGCTCCACACCTGGGCCCGGCAGCCCCGACTGACACGGGCGGCCAGAGCTGCCCAAGCTGCCCGAGCGCATGCCAGGCCCCCAGGCGGAGCCTGTTGGGAGCACGCTGGGCAGGTCCTGGACCGCTGCTTCACCCGCCCACTCACTCTGGGCCAGGAACGAGCTCAGCGACCACCTGGACGCCATGGACTCGAACCTGGACAGCCTGCAGAACATGCTGAGCGGCCACGGCTTCAGCGTGGACACCAGCGCCCTGCTGGACGTGAGTCTGCCCGCCTGCCCCCCCCCACGCCCCGCCCCCCCCAGGCCCTGACTCCCTCCCTCCCTCCTGCAGCTGTTCAGCCCCTCCGTGACTCTGCCGGACATGAACCTGCCTGACCTGGACAGCAGCCTGGCCAGCGTGCGTGGGGGTAGGAGGGAGGGGGTGGGGGCGGGGCCAGCGGGAGCCTCACCTTGTCATCCCCACAGATCCAGGACCTGCTGTCTCCCCAGGAGCCCCCCAGGCCCCTGGAGGCTGAGAACGGCCCCGATTCAGGTGAGCCCGGCTCCCGCTCCCCTGCCAGCCCCTGCCTGGCCCTGCCTTCGCCCACTCACCACCCCACCCCACCCCACAGGCAAGCAGTTGGTCCACTACACAGCGCAGCCCCTGCTCCTGCTGGACCCCGACGCTGTGGACACGGGAAGCAGCGAGTTGCCAGTCCTCTTCGAGCTTGGCGAGGGTTCCTGCTTCTCCCAAGGAGAGGACTACTCGGACGACCCCACCATATCCCTGCTCACCGGCTCCGAGCCCCCCAAAGCCAAGGACCCTGCTGTCTCCTAGAGGGCCTGGAGGAGCCGGGCCGCCCGCCCATCTGCTTGCCGCCCCAGCGTCGGGCTGCTTTGGGCCGGCGGGCTGGGAGCCACAGTTGCCTTCACCCCTCCCAGTGTGCAGTGGTTCAGCGGTGCTTGGACTGAGCCTGCAGGCCACCCACGGCAAAGTTGTATTTTGGCTTTTTACTCATGAGCCCCCTTCCCCTCCCCCAGGCGGATGTGTGTCCCGGGCCGGAGGGTGAGACAGACGCATAAAGGGACAGGCTCAAGCTGCCGCCTCATGTGGTGGTTCCTCCCCCAGGGGGCTGGGTGTAAGCAGTGCCCTACATACCGGTCAGGGCCTGCCCACTGCCCTCCTGGCCACATGGTCACAGGCCCTGTTGACTGTGGGAGAGCTGGGACACCTGGAGTCTGGGGGCAGACACGCTGCAGGGGGTGTGGGCGGCCCCCACCACACCACAGGTATGCTGTGGTAGGGACGGGCAAAGCTGCCCCCCACCCCCAGTTGGTCGGCCTCCCTGACGGCCTGAGACTCTCCATCTAGGTCCTCCAGGGCCTGCTGGGCAGCAGCACCCTCCCACCTACAGGGTGTCACCCAGACAAGCCAACCAGGCTTCCGGCAGGCAGAGGGAGTTGCTGTAGGCAGCACTTTATTCACACTGGCCAGGCAGGGGCACCCAGCCCTGCACAGCTGAGGGTGTCCTGGTCAGTGTCCTTCCCTGAGGGCAGCCCGGGAGGCCCCATGGGGGCAAAGCCTTTCCAGGGCCGGAGGGGAGCAGCTCAGGCCCCCGTCGTCGGGGCCTCGTGGTTGAGCACGTAGTAGTCGTGGACGTACATGAGCACAGCCACTGGCTGTCCGATGATGAGCGTCAGCCACACAGCCGCATTGCCGTAGTTGCCCCGGAAGAAGCGGCCCACGAGCCAGGCCAGCGGCAGCTGGGGACATGGGGAGCGGGGTCAGCCCTGACCCCAGGGAAGGCACGTGGGGCGGCTCTGGGGCGCTTGCTCACCTGAGCCATCATGCCTGTGAACGCCCAGAGGCGGAACATGCGCAGGGGAATGCTCACCAGGTACTAGAGTTGGGGAGAAGGGGGTTAGGCTCTCCGGCTCTCCCAAGGCCGCCCTGCCCACAGCCCAGGTAGGGCCCAAGGAGCACTGACCTCGTGGAAGAAGGCCGAAGCCAGGAACACGCCTGTCCTGGCCACCCACCTGCTGCTGCCCCGCCGGATCATAGGCTTGTAGAAATGCCTGCAAGAGCGGCCATGGGCAGGGCGCCCAGCTGAGCCCACGCCCACCCGACCCCGCCCAGCTGAGCCCACCAGACCCCGCCCACCTACCTGCTGCACCACTTGTGCACTGGGATGTTCCAGTTCTGCCAGAAGTAGGTGACAGATTCCGAGTTCCTGGGGGTGAGGGGACGGAGCTGTCAGGGCCTGGGGGGCCCCAGCCCACCCCCAGCACCACCCTGGGCACCCACCACCAGTCCCGGTAGAACTCGCGGTCTCCAAACTGCATGAGCTCGCCCACAGCATTGAGGCATGAGTGGAAGAGCCAGTAGAAGAATATGAGCCAGATGAGGTGGTTGGGGACCTGTGGGGGAGGCGGCTCAGTGTCCGAGCTCCAAGCTCCGCGTGGCCGCCCTGCCCGTGCCCCTGCTCACCGCCAGCTTCAGCAGGCGCTCAATGATGCGTGAGTAGTCCATGTCCTGGGAGGAGAGGCTGCTTCAGCACCCATGTCCTCCCGCGCCCACCCGTTCCTGCAGCCCCTGCTCACCTTGAAGGGCTTCATGGAGTTCTGGATGGTGGGGACCATCCACTGCAGAAGGAGACAGGGTCAGCCACGGCTCTGCCAGGGCCCTCCCCACCCCCGGCCCCACAGCCTGGTCCACGCACCTGCTGGATGAGCCCCACCTGGAGCTGTGTGAAGAAGAGCTGCAGGGAGAGCCAGACACCTCAGCTGGCACCCAGAGGACCCCAACCCAGGTCCCCCGCCCTGACCCGGCCTCACCATCTCCAGGAGCCGCCGCAGCAGGAAGCGCTTCCGGATACGTGGGGAGCGGGGGAAATTGAGCTCGTAGCACAGGGTGGGGGCAAAGAGGAAGTAGTACAGATCTGCAGGGAGAGCAGGGGTGAGGGGAGGCTGCTGCACCTTGGGAAGGCAGGGCCGGCACCACTCGGCCCCATCCAGCCCCATCCCCCTGCCCTCACCGCGGTAGGTCAGGTTGTCTGGGTAGCTCACAGTGGACCGGGCTGCATCCCCAGGGGCCCTTCCTGCAGACATGGGACAATGCAGAGGGGAAGGCCAAGCGGGCGGCCACTGCCCAGGCCCTGCCCCTTGCAGCCCAGCTCAGCGGGCCTCACCAGCTTCCTTGGCCCTGCGCTGGCGGCACCACAAATTCACGTCCCGGTAGGAGAAGAGCTTGAGGAAAAGGATGGTGTGCACGGCCAGTGCCAGCAAGGAGCCCACTGTGGAGAGGGGGGCTCAGGACGGGGCCCCTGGAGAGCCCGCTGTGGAAAGGGGGCTCAGGACGGGGCCCAGAGCCCCAGGGAGCCCACTGTGGACAGGGGGGCTCAGGACAGGGCCCAGAGCCCCAGGCCAGGCTGGACAGCAGGCGGACAGGCACACCTGGGGTGATGGACTCCACCAGCAGGGACACAGCAGCGGGGAAGCAGAGGATGGTGGCCAGGTTGGCCACGTGCAGTAGCAGCCCCACTGGCTCCGTCAGAGAACCCTGAGGGGACAGGGCACTGAGCAGGGCTGCCTGGCCAGATTCCAAGGCTGTGGCCGGGGCGGGGGGGGGGGGTGCGCGGGCATGGCTTACCACTGCCAGGCGTCTCTCAACCTGGAACGCAGCCACGGCAAAGATGTTGGCCACTGCGGATAGAAGCAGCTGAGCAGGCTCAGGCCCTGGCCAGCCCTGCCGCCCCCCGGGCCCTCCTGGCACCCCGCTCACCAAGAACCAGGCACGGGGCCGGCCAGCTGTAGGGGTCCTTCAGGAACAGAGACACCACCTGAATGGGGTCCACTAGGATGCCATACCTGGGGGCAGGGAGGCGCCTCAGTAGCCAGCTCCAGGCCCTGCCTGGGGGCCCCACAGCAGCAGTGCTGGACTGCTCCAACCACTCACTTGATGAGGTTCTCCAGAAACAGCCGTGCATTGCTCAGGATCTGCAAGACACAGGTTAGGACTCAGCTGCTCGGGTGGGGTCCCCGTCAGACTCAGACCACCCCACCCCACTCCTCCACGGGGCAGAGGAGTTGACCAGTCCCCATCACGCCAAGGGAGACCACTGTGGCACCAGCCCCCACCCATGGTAACTGGGCAGCCCACGGACCCCCTGCCACACGGAGGCTCTGCAAGGTAGGCCACGCCCACCCAGGGGCCAGGCTGCCACCCCCCACAGCAGGGCAAGTGCCCGTGGTGTCCAGCTTGTGGCAAGACACACGGCAGAGGTGACAGGAAGGAGTCGGCCCCACCATGCCTGGTCTCCTGCCGCTCTCCAGGTTCCCAAGGACCCTTCAGACGCCAACCACACCAGGTATGGAGCCCAGCGGGGCCGGGCCGCTATCAGCTCGTCTCATAGGACCGCCAGGCCCAGCCCTGAGCAAGAACTGACCCAAACCATTAAAGTCCACACCGGTGAGAGGGCCCTGAGCTGTAGGCAGTTCACAGGCCAGGCTGCGGAGGGACGGCAAGAAGCCCAGGGTGCCCTGCAGAACGGACGGACACCCCACCTCTTGCGGCCAAGCCACACGGGGCCATGGCCCAAGGCCCACTTCACTCCCTGGAAGCTGTGACTGTCCAGGGCAGCTGGCAGGGAGTGGCCACAGCAGGGGACGGAGGACAGCAGGCTGAGGGAGGACGCAGCCACATCTGCCCTGCTGTACAACAGGCCCTTGCCCTAAACTTCCCCTCTGAGCCTGCACCCCAAATGCTGTAGGATCAGCTGGCAGCCCCAGCATACCACAGGTGCCAGACCTCATTCAGGACCACAGGGGAGAGCGAGGCTGGAGACCTGCACAGGGGCGGCCAGCCCAGCCACTGCCTTCCTGCCAGAGGCCCCACTCCACTCACCAGCATCACCACACACCAGTTCAGGATGCCCCGGTAGTTGCTGAAGCCACTGTCAGAGCTGAAGAGCGAGTCCTGCAGGCGATGGCACCTACAGGGCAGGAGGCCGGCAGTGAAGGTCGGGAGGCCGGCAGTGAGGGGCAGGAGGCAGGCAGTGAGGGGCAGGCAGAGAGGGGCAGGAGGCCGGCAGTGAGGGGGCAGGTGGCAGGCAGTGAGGGGCAGGTGGCAGGCAGTGAGGGGCAGGTGGCAGGCAGTGAGGGGCAGGAGGCAGGCAGTGAGGGTCGGGAGGCCGGCAGTGAGGGGCAGGCAGAGAGGGGCAGGAGGCCGGCAGTGAGGGGGCAGGTGGCAGGCAGTGAGGGGCAGGTGGCAGGCAGTGAGGGGCCGGCAGTGAGGGGCAGGTGGCAGGCAGTGAGGGGCAGGCAATGAGGGGCAGGAGGCAGGCAGTGAGGGTCGGGAGGCAGGCAGTGAAGGGCAGGAGGCCGGCAGTGAGGGGCAGGCAATGAGGGGCAGGTGGCAGGCAGTGAGGGTCGGGAGGCCGGCAGTGAGGGGGCAGGTGGCAGGCAGTGAGGGGCAGGAGGCCAGCAGCGGGCGTGTCCTCCCCTCCTTCCTGCCCAGGTTCCCTGCAGCCGTCGGCTCAGGGCCTTGAGGAAGTCCACGTCTCGGACAACTGTGGACTCTGGTACCACTAGCCGCTATAGTGACAGAGGGTGACAATCAAGTCCTCCCTGCTCAGCTGGCCCATCCGGCCACTCAGCATGCCACGAGGCCCTCACCACTGTGCCCACTGAACCGCAGCGGGCACCCAGCCCACAGAGCCCACTGGGCTGGGTCAGGGCCAACGGGAGCAGGGCCTGTGCCCTCCAGTCACAGCGCCTGCAGGAAGCCTGGGGCCATTGAGCAAGGCCCCGCTGTGGTAAGAGTCCAGCCCTTCTCCCTCAGGACACGCCTCCCAGTGCCAGGGAGGAAGACACGCCGCAGGGGCCCCTCTCAGCAGTCCGTGTTCCACTCCGATCCTGTGCCGCCCTGTGGGCCCCAGACTCGGGCCGCACCTGCCCCTCAGCCTGACCGTCCTCGCTGTCCCGCACAGCCTCAGGCCTGGGCCTGGCGCAACGGCACCTGCGCTGGGCCACCACACAGAGGCTCCCAACGCCAATGCCAGCTGATGTTACAAAGCCTTCGATTACCCTGCTGGACCCC